AGCTGCGATCTCCTGGATCCTAGGTTGATGCACAACTGCCGAGCCATGCTCAGCCTGGCTTAAATTCATAGGAATTTTTAAAACAAACTTTGTAGAATTGTCATACTTTCCCAGACCACAAGTGCACCCTAACATTGAGAGCTGATGGAGCTGGAGGGGAGGTGCAGGGAGTGCATCCTAGTGTTCTCCGTTCTCATTTGTGCATTGGAAATTCTTTTCGGTGAAATGAAGAAGGGAAAAAGGACAGTGTGAGCTCAGTGGTGATGCAGGTGATGTTCAGAACTCAGCGCTGGTGGACAAATGGTTGTAGTTCTAGAGGCTGTAAATTACCCCAGATTCCCTTTCTGAGCAGAACTCAGATCCGGAACAACAAACAAAATGCCCAGGTGACCTGTGCCCTTCTGGCAGAGGGTTTAGTTGTGGTAAATATTGCTCTCAATGCTGCATTTTTGTCTATGGCTTATATCCCTTAAACCAGCCTTTGTTTTCCTGCCTGTGAAATGCGTGAGCCACATTTAACGATGGGTGATTCCCACTGTTGGTTTCATCCTCACAGCCCTTTGATGTAGGTGCTACTAAATCCCCAAGCTAAGGAAACTAAAGCTCAGAGAAGTCACAGCTGGCGAGTCACAGAGCTCAGATTTGAGCCCAAGGAGTCTGGCTCCAGAGCCCAACCTCTTCACCTCTACTTTTTACTGTTCCAACCAGCAAGGGCAAGAGAAGGACAATGTTAAGTGAGATGATGGGGACAAAGAAGAGAAAGCAGATGGCTGGGATGTGATGTCCAGGTGTCACCACCACCACCAGGTACACAGAGGACCACTGAGACCCTCGGGCCATCTTCTCTCCACAGGACTCTGAGAACAGTGGGGACAGCGGATACCCCAGTGAGAAGCGGGGTGAGCTGGATGACGCACAGCCCCAAGAACATGTAAGGAACTCCTGGGAAATAAGACCAGAGTTTTCTGTTGCTTTATTGTCTGGGAGGGTAGACAGGTGGGGGGAATGCGAGTGGGTCATGAGAACGTGACAAGTAAATTACTAAATAAGATTTCAGAAAAAGGTGAATGCAGGGCACAAGGTAAAACAGAGTAATGGGGACTAGTAAATGTAGTAAGGAGCCCAGTATGGGGGCTTAGACACCAGATTGAAAGTGGCTAAGCAGAGAGGATGCTGGGCAATAGGCTGGCAAGACTGCTGGTATGGGTGGAGGGCCCAGCTCCTAGGCACAGGATTCTGGCAGTCCTGGGGAGCACCCCAGAGGACAGGTTTCCAAGGCAGCTCCCATAGCATCGTGGTGAAGGTGGCCTACAGCTGTGTCACAGCCATTAAAGGTTTAGCCCTGGGGCAGAGTCTGAGCATCAAGGCCGGTCTTGCTGGAGCCCTCTGGTCTCAGCTTGGTTGCTGCGAGTAAAGGCATGTGATGGGAGCTTTGGCTAGAGTAAAGACTTGGCCCATTCTCTGGGATCCTGTGCCTTTGAGTCCCGTCTGTGCACAGAGGGAGAGCGAGAGGAAGGCTGTGGCCTCCCCAGCACATCAGTCCTGCCTACTACCCAGCATCCTCTCTGCTTGCCAGGCAGGGTTCCAGCTTCCCTGGTAGGGGTCAGGCCAGTTCCCTGAGAGCTGGGTCCCAGGGAGGGCTGGCCCAGTTTCTCCGGAGGAGGTTCTTGGCCAGGCCAGTCTTGGGAGGAAGAGCTGCTCTCCGGATCACTCTATTCTCTGTGTCCATCAGGGCAACTCAAACAGTAACCGGAGGTACGAGTCGGATGAAGACAGCCTGGGCAGCTCCGGACGGGTAATGCCCCCCGAGGAACCCTTGTCATGGCTGCATGCTTGCCTTCCCAGACTCTGTTTCTGTTTCTCCTCCCTCACATCACTGCAGCCTACCCAGGTGCCTCACGCATCTAAAGGAAGATTTTGCAAAGGAGCCAATCCCCTTGACAAATACTTTTGAGCCCCTGCCCTGGGTGGGATGATGGGGGACCTTTGGGGAGGATTAGGGATGCCAGGGTCACCCACCCTGGAGGGGAGATCAAAACAGCCACAGCTCACCTGTTAAAGTCCTGCCCATATCAGTGACTTGTAGTATTAATTCACTTTGTTCTGACAACCACCCAATGAAACAAGCTAATGTTACCCCCATTTTACATATGAGGAAACGGGGGTCTTAAGCAACTTTCCCCAGGTTACTGGCCAGTATTTCCGACAAGCATCCTAGGCGATCATTACCATCTCGCAGGTGTAGGAGGGACCAGCCCTCAGGAGCGCTGTGCTCTTTCTAGCTGATTCTGAAACACACTTGAACCTCTCACCTTCCAGCCTCTCCCACGTGCAAGGCTCTTCCTGCCCCTGTGGGCATATCTCCTCCAAGCCTGCCTGCGCCCCCACACCGGCCCCTGCAGCTCCTCCAACACATCCTGCCCCTGCAGCTCCTCCAACACACCCTGCCCCAGGAGCCTGCCTTGGTCACCCCAGCAGGCCTCGCTCCTGCTCCCTCTAGAGCACAGAATATTGACCATTTGTTTCTTGGGTGGGTCAAAGGTTCAGCATGGCATGGGGCAGGGTTGTTCAACCATGGCACCATCAGCATTCTGAGCTGGGCCATCCTTTGCTGGAGGGACTGCCCTGTGCCTTGTAGGATGTTTGGTGCACACACAGCTGCCTGGCTCTGTTCTTTGAGGACCTTTAGACAGGGGTGTCTTTAGCTGGGAGACATTCCCAGACGCACCCGGCTGATGCCCAGAGGAAAGTAAACCAATATGCTGCTAGATCTGACATCTGACTCTGGTGCTGTGTGGAGAGCTGGCCAGTGAGCAGCTTAGAGTCCAACCCCCCCTTCCCTAGCCCACCCAGATTTACAAATGAGGAGAGCACTTCTTTGAACTGCTGTGGTCTGTTCTGCTGGCCTTGGTGTCCTGTTGCTATCATAGGCCCTTAGTGCCCACGAGCTCACAGAATTTGAGTGACTAGAAGTGGAGCTCCGTTTGTCCAAGAAAACTTGACACCATCAGGGTTCACTCCCCATCTTTCCAGCCAGGCTTGTGTAGTAGGAGCTGCTGACAGCTGCTGGCAATCTGTCCGTCCCCAGCCTCCCACCCCTCTGGCCTGGAACCAGCCATGCCCGGTTCTCTCCCTTCAGGTCTGTGTGGAGAAGTGGAATCTCGTTAACTCCTCCCGCCTCCACCTGCCGAGGCCTTCGGCTGTGGCCCTGGAAGTGCAAAGGCTTAATGCTCTGGACCTTGAAAAGAAAATCGGGAAGTCCATTTTGGGGAAGGTATCAGTGATGCCTGTTTCAGAGCCCTCCGCACTAACCCGGCTCTCACCTCCTCCACTCGTAACTTCCTCCTGTAGGCTGGCTGGGGCCCCCGGGTGAGGCTTTGGCCTCCCAGGCTGCCGGCCAACACCCATGTCTATGTGGCAGGTCCACCTGGCCATGGTGCACTACCATGAGGGCGGGCGCTTCTGCAGGGAGAATGAAGAATGGGACCGCGAGTCGGCCGTCTTCCACCTGGAGCATGCGGCCAACCTGGGCGAGCTGGAGGCCATCGTGGGCCTGGGACTCCTGTACTCGCAGCTGCCCCACCACATCCTGGCTGATGTCTCTCTGAAGGTGAGAGGGGCTGGGGCCCGCTGGGGTGGCCTCCGTCGGCCCACCTTCCCCCATCCTGGGGTTTATGCCACAGACAGTTCCTGATCACCAGTTAGGCGCGTCTGATTTGGTTGAAACTAGTAGAAGTTGTCTCTGCCCTTAGGGAATGAATGGAAGGTGACAGTTCCATTTCCAGGCCCTGACTGGGGTCTCCAGGGGTCAGCGCCTGCCTCCTGAGGGCTGGTCCCAGCGGGGTCCTTAGGGGCCAGAACAGCCCAGCATCCAGCAGCAGGTGCTCAGGGTTTGTTAGGAAAGCAGTGATGGAGTGGTATTTAAGTTAGACTTACAGGCCAGATGGTCGTCGAGAGGAGAGCAGTCAGGCAGAGAGTGACAGGCAGGATGGTGGATCAGAGGACTGGAGGCGGCCACTGCGGCTAGAGCGCGTGGCGGGTGGAGGAGGCTGGATGTGGGCCCGAGGCAGCCGGGTGTGGGTGTGTGGGACGCCCACGAGGTCTGCTGCTTCTTTGCTTCCCTGGTCCATGGGCGCAGTGAGGAAAGGATGAGTGAACAGGTCCCAGCAGGGTCTGAATTCAGTTTTCTCTGGAGAATTCGAGAGACGCTTGTCGAGCGTGTGGTCCCAGGGTATCTCTTCCCATCCTGTCTGTCATGTGGGCCAGGGGCGTGCGTAGATATGTGGCTGGGCGGGGCAGGGCTCAGCTCAGCATGGGCCCAGGGCATCAGCCCTCCTCAGTGAAGGGTGGAAGGTACTCCAGGGTCCTTTATTGATTTAACTTTTTGAACAGATAAGAGATTTATGTAATTAAAAAATTATTTTCTTTAAAATCTTAGTTAGTTGTATAGAATTCTAGAGTGTATTAGTTTCCTGTTGCTGCCATAATAAATGACCACAAACTGGGTGGCTTAAAACAACAGAAATTTATTCTCTCACAGTTCTGGAGACTATAAGTCCAAAACTAAAGTGTTGGCAGGGCCATGCTCCCTCCCTCTTTTCCCATCCAGCTTCTCATGGGTGCTGGCCTCTGTAGCATCCCTTGGCTTATAGATTCATCACTCCCTTCTCCATCTCTATCTTCACATGTCCTTCTGTCTGTCTCCATCTCTGTATCTCTTCTCCTCTTATAAAGACACCAATCATGCCCTGGCCGGTTTGGCTCAGTGGTTAGAGCATCTCCCGGCAGACCAATGGCACATACTCAATCCCTGGCAGGGTCAGGGTGTGTGTGGGAGGCAACCATTTGATGTGTCTCTCTCACACTGGTGTTTCTCTCTCTCTCACTCTCCCTCCCTTCTGCTCTCTCTGGAAAGCAATGGGAAAAATATCTTCCAGTGAGGATTAAAAAAAAAGATACCAGTCACATGGGATTTAGGGCCCACACTACTCCAAGATGGCCTCGTCTTAACTAATTAACTTCTACAAATACCCTATTTCCAAATTGGGTCTCATTTTGAAGTCCTGGGTGGATGTGAATTGGGAGGGATGCTATTTACCCCAGTACACAGGGCTTCCTTATGCCAACACAGAGTATTTTCACCCAATTTTTTTCTCCAAAGCTGGCACACCACACATTCACCCAGACCTAGGCTTCCTCACCCTACAGCATCCTACAGACATGGTTCCTCAGTGGTGCAGATAAAGCTTCCTTATTCTTTTCTTTTTTAATATGTCTTCATTGATTTCAGAGAGGAAGGGAGAGGGGGAGAGAGAGAGAAACATCAATGATGAGAGAGTCAGTCATTGATCGGCTGCCTCCTGCGCACTCCCCATTGGGGATCGAGCCCGCAACCCAGGCACATGCCCTGACCAGGAATCGAACCCTGACCTCCTGGGTTCATGGGTCGATGCTCAACCACTGAGCCATGCCCGCTGGGCTTATCCCTTTTTTTCAACCAAGACAAACCTTGATTTGTAGCATTTTCGGCTTTCTGTGGTGTAAATGTTCCTACTATGGCCGGCTTCATGGTAAATATGACATCACTGAACATGGACTTGGGAAGAAATGTCAGGAGACACCATTATGTGTCACCATATGGGTTCAAAAGACGGTGGTTCTCAACCATTCATTTTGCCCTCTCTCTTTCCAGGGGCCACTTGGCAATGTCTGGAGACATTTTTGTTTGTCACAACTCTGGGAGTACAACTGGCATCTACTGGGCAGAGACTAGGGATGCTGCTAAACATCCTATAAGGCACAGGGTGCCCCACAGCACACAATTATCTGATTCAGAATGTCATTGGTGCTGAGGCTGAGAAACCCGAAATAGATGGAAATAACTTCAAGAGCGTAATCAGTAACACATAGTGAAATAATTAGGAAGTGATGAACTGAGTAATTATTACCATTCATTTAACTGTAAGTTTACATAATTTAATTTTTAGTAATGGCTTTCAAAATCCCTGAAAATGTTAGTCTCCTGAGCCTCTAGAGCCAGCTCCCGTGGACCACTGCATGTGGCAAGGAGCCTGGCCCAGCAAGGACACACGGAGGCTTCGAGGCCTGAGCGAAGGAATGCCGGGGCCCAGGATGAGGGGTAGGGTCAGGGCTGGTGGAGATCTCCTCTCTCTGAGACTCCCTGGTAACTGTCCTTGTGATCTCAGACTATATATGCCAGCTGCACCCTAGCACCTACTCTGTAAGCAGACCGAGAGACAATTTCAGTTTCCTCATCTGCAGGAGTCCCAAAGGCCTTTCCGTCGAGTACAGACTCTGGCAGCTCCCCCTAGCAGGAGTGCCATTGGATAGGGTGGTGTGGTTAGGGCAGGGCAGGCAGGCGGAAAGTGAGCTGTGTTCAGTCAGGCTTAGGGCTTAGCAAGGAAAACAGTGGTTGCTAGCCCTGAGGGCTGCTGTGTGCTCTAGGAAGCTTGTCCCACTTTCCCTAGTGTCCCTGTTTGGGGGCTGTTTTCTGCTGTCTTGCCAAGACATTCATCCAGCACATACTTTGTGAGCATCTTCTACACTCTGGGCACCATCCTAACTTCTCATTCACAACAGCAAACTTCTCAGGTGGGGAAGGATATAATATAGATAATAATTAACAAATGAAAATTTCCAGCAGAATTAAAAATAACCTTTGTAGAGCATTTCCTGTGCCAAGTATTATTCTGAAGTGCAGGAGTTACCAGTGGAAATGGGGTTCTTGGGGTACCGCAGGAATAAGCATCTCTGGAGGCCCCCATGGCAGGATGACATATTGTAGAAAGCTTTATTTCTGTGGAATTAAATCCCTGAGTTTCCAAAGTCCCCCTCTCCCTCAGTTCTGCCATAAAAGTGTAGCTGTGGCTTTAATATGGCTAGAATTAGAGCCAGTGTCCAGAGTTTCCATTCCATGTTGAAGAAGAGTCCAGTCCAGCATCAGACCAGCTGCAGTCCATTAGTTGATTGAGTATGGGGTCCGTATGCAAGAGCCACAAGAGAGAGAATTTCTTTGTTTAGGGGATTATGCATTCCCACATTTTCGTGGGCTTGCAGTGACCACACCCATTCTGGCCAATGATCTCTGTTCCCAGGTGTGACTGACAGGCAAGGACCTTTCCTATATCACCCCAACTTCACTGCATATGCATCTGTCTCCTGTTTGTTGGACCCCTTCCCCCAGTGATCTCCAGGGAATGGGCCGGTGGCTCCCTGGGGAGTGTGAAATTGCAGCTTCCTGGTGAAGCTGCCCAGATTACGTGCCTATAATGTCTGGCCTTTCCTTTGCTCCTTTCTTATTATTAATAACTAGCTAATTACAACAGTATCACTGGGGAGAAAATATGGTAGGGAGTGTGATCAAGAGTGACTGTAGAGCCTTTTGTATTAGGCCACAGTTTCCAGCTGCGGGGGAGGCTGGGAAATGTAGTCTAGCTGGTCAGCCATGCAACAGCAAAAACATGGTGGGTGAGAATGGATATGGAGGACAACTGGTAGTCCCTGCCACACTTCCTAAAGCCTAAAGATTGAAAAGGACCTCAGAGGCTGATATGAGGGTTTGGATTTGTCTCTGAGGAAGACAGGAAGCCTTGGAGCAGCTTTGATGGAGTAATGTGACCTGACTTGGGCTTCAAAGGCCTCCCTCTGCCTGCTGCTATGGACTAGGTCTTGGGGGAGCAGGATGGAAGCTGGTGGGAATGCAGCCGCCAAGGAAAACAGCCTGGAAGCTCCTCAAAGGCTAACCATACACTTACATGTGACCCAGCAATTCCACTCCATAGTGTATACCCAAGAGATTAAAAACATACATCCCCACAAAAAAACGGTACATAAATGTTCACAGCAACATTATTCATAATAGCCAGAAAGTGGAAAAGGACAAATATCCATCAACTGATGACTGGTGAGTGGATAAACAAAATGTGGTTTATCCAAACAATGGAATGTTATTTGGCCAACAAAGAATGAGGCACAGACACATGCTACACCATTGGTGGACCTTGAAAACTTTATGCTAAATGAAACAAGCCAGCCACATATTGTATGATGACATTTATATTCAATGTCCAGAACAGGGACGTCTCTAGAAACAAGTGGTGGATGGGTGGTTGCCCAGGCCTGGGTAGGGTGGGGCAGTTTGGAGGTGACAGTTAAGGGGTTTGGTGTTTGGGTTGTCTGAAGTTGTTACGGTGATGGTTGCACATTGTGTGGATATACTAAAACGATTGAATTGGGTGAATTGTATGATATGTGAATTATATCTCAGTAAAGCTGCTAAAATTTTTTTAAAGAGTGGAAGCAGAGCCCTAACCAGTTTTGCTCAATGGTTAGAGCATCAGCCCACGGACTGAAAGGTCCCAGGTTCAATTCAGGCCAAGGGCATGTACCTTGGTTGTAGACACGATCCCTGGCCCTGGTCAGGGCACGTGCAGGAGGCAACCAATCGATGTGTCTCTCTTACATTGATGTTTCTCTCTCTCTCCGTCTCTCTCTCTCTCTCTCTCTCCCCTCCCCCTCCTCCCTCTCTCCCTTCCACTCTCTCTGAAAAGCAAAAGAAAAAACTATCTTCAGGAGAGGATTTAAAAAATAAAATAGTAAAATAAAATAAATAAAAAGAGTGGAAGCAGGGAGCTGTGCCCTGTTGGAGGCAGGGGATGGGTGGCTCTTTGGAAGAATCAGAGCAGACAGAGGACAATGAGTGGGAGAGAGCTAAGCTTCTGTCTCCCCTCCTGATGGGAACCCAAGGAGCTCATTGCAGCAGGGTGCTAGCCCTGCTCCCTTTCTCACAATGTGCAGTTCTACAGCAGCCCCAGCCCAGAGATCTCGAAACAATTCAAGAAATGAGAAGATTGATCAGTGGGATCCCGGCAGCCCCACCAGTGCAAGTCTCATGCCCTTTTCTCTCCCCCTCTTTGGTTGGTATTGACAGGAGACAGAAGAAAATAAAACCAAAGGATTTGATTACTTACTGAAGGCAGCTGGAGCTGGCGACAGACAGTCCATGATCTTGGTGGCACGGGCCTTTGACACTGGCCAGAATCTCAGCCCAGACAGGTACTGTGGCCACCACTCAGGTGGAGCTGGTGGGAACCTGGGCTACAGGTGGAAGTTTCCTCCTCCAGTATCAGCACAGACCTGGGTTCCAGGCTTGGCTCCCCACGGAGTTACAGTCCAGCGACCATGGGCAAGTTATTTTACTTCCCTGGCCTCAGTTTCTTCATTGTGTAAAATGGGAATAATTATAGAACCTACATCCAGGGTTGTCTGTGAGGGTTAAATGGGATGGCTTCTGTAATTCTCACTGTCCCTGGCCCAGAAAGCATGAGATACCTGGCGGCCAGCTTAGCTGATACAGGGAAAGATTTGCCTGAGAGAGTGAAAGGACAGGCAGCATTGGGCCCAGAGCAGTTGTCCCTGGATGTTAGGATTATGGGTGATTAGAATTTACTCTTCCTGTTTTTATTTTTGTTATTTTTCACTCCCGAGAGGGAGGAGAGGGAAGAAGGCAAGCTCCAGGGGTGAGCTCAGGCCTGGTGTGAGTTTTCCAGAGTGGCTCTGAGACTCCTGAAGGGTAGGACTGCAGGTGTTCACTCTTCTTCAGTTACTGCTCAGGCTGAGATGCCAGGACTGGCTTCTGCAGTGGGAGGAGGGGAGGATGGCCCAGCTCCATCGCTTCTCCTTGGCTGGACCAGTGAGTTGTCCCAGAAGTCCAGGCTGAGCAGAAGACAGTTGGGGAACTGAACTGGTAATGGGACACTTTGTGGTTCCCCTTGGATCTCAGCTACCCCCTGCTGTCCTCAGGAGCCCGTGGCTTTCTGGAAGGGAGCAGGGTGAGCACATTCATCATCTAAACCTCCAGGGTTGGAGCAACCTGGCAGTTCCTCTTTTGTGGATCAAGGTCTCATCTCCCTCTCACTGGGTTTGGAAGGAAAGTCAGGGTCCTGGTTCTTATCGTATCAAGCTCTCAGTCTAAAACATCTGGATACGTGACCTGCTGCCTGTATTGTGCAAAAATGTATCGGACACCTACTGTATTGCCCCCTTAAATCTGAACCACTCTTTCACAGTGGTGATTTTATTTCACTGAGAATAAGAATCGGGTCTTCACTGTCTGCAGTCCCAGTGTTCCGCACAGGGCCTGGCTCAGTAGTTGTTTGAATGAATGAACCAACACATCTCTTTGGCACTGACAGGGCAGGGATGTTTGGCCCCATTTTATGGATGAGAAAGCTAGTTCTGAGAGGTGAAGGGACTTGCCCATGGTAAAAGAGCAAGTAAGTGGCAGAGCTGAAACCTAGGTCTTCTTACCTCTCCTGCAGTGGACTATCTACATGGCCTGCTTCTTAGTGGACTCAGAACTATACTGTCACAGAGGGGAGGTGAACAAAAAAAGACACGGCATGATTGTGTCGGATCAAACACCAGTGTACGTGGTGCCCATGGAGTGCAGTGGGGAAGCATGGCCTGGGCGGGGGTGCTCGCGCTGGGCACCTAAAATCTTTGCTCTGTGTGTTTTCATGTCTCTTTTGCCTACTTTTTCTTTGACATGATAGTCTTTGTTGTTGATTTGTAAGAACTTTTTATATATTAATGCTATTAACTCTTCAGCATATGAGTTGACTTAAAAATTTCTTTTCAGAGATAACTGCCATAGATGTGGGGGGACGGGCTGGCACGGGTGCCACTCAGTTACCATTGTTTATGGGTTTGGGGATACATTGATTTTTAATATTTATGTAGTTAAACCTATCAAAATTTTTTATATATAGCTTTTACTATAGTCATTTATTTTTCTTCCTCATTCCAAGCAGCTCCAGCCTCTTCCCTTCAGGGACCATTAATTAAGGGCCACTCTGGGTAAGGCAGGGCCCCATGTAGGCCCAAACTTGCATGTAAGGGGTTTCCACCTCCTCAGAAGTTGCCACCTAATAGGGGAAGAAAAAGTCATTGGAGATTCCAAAGCAGGGTGGGCACCCTGACCACTGGGTGTGGAGCCAGATGGGTGGGGGTGGGGTGGTTGGGGTGGGAGAGAGAGATTAGGCCCTCCCCTCTTCCCATTTAATAGTTCCAGGCAGTTCTGCTTTGCCCTGCAAGACCAGGGAGGGTCAGAGGTGAAAGGGTTGAAAATCTAGTTTAGTGGCTTCCAGACAAATGTTAAAACCTTAGTTTGTTAGATGAGTCACCAATAATTTTCAAAAGATTTCCCTTTTCTGTAAAACAAGGAGGAGTCAGCGTTGGCTCCTGAAGGCCGTCCTAGCCAGGCATGTATTTGCCCTTCATCGGTCCGTGCTTCCTGGGGCTCCCGTTCTCTTTGGGGAAACTAATCCACAGTGAATAAGTAAACAGACTGAGGCAATTGTAAGAAATAGGGTGTTTGGGGACGGCCACTCTGAAGGAGTGACATGAGCTGAGGTTGGAGGGATGAGGAGCCAGGTGTGGAAAGAAGGGGAAAGAACGTTCCAAGCAGAGCAGCAGGGGCAAATGCCAGGGAGCAGGTAGGAGCTGGTGTGTCTGGGAACAGAAAGCCTGGCGTGCGGGGTCAGCAAGAGCTAAAACTAGGGGCTGCGCCAGGTCAGGGAGCGCCTCGGAGGAGAGGACCGCAAGTCATTGTAGCTGTTTTTTCTGGAACCTTCTTATCTGCGTCTCTTTGCTCTTTCCTGATGTGCCTGGCAATACAGTTAGTACACCCAAAGAGAAAGCCCGCTGCCCTGTTTGCTCTGTATTGTGTGTTTAGATTTGCTTGGAACCTGTGTGTGCCCTTGGTGGTTTGGCCATTCACGTGCTGCCGCAGGAGAGAGAGTTGAGGCTAGAGTGCCAGAGCCAAGAGGGAGCCAGCTCTTCCCCGGCAGGCCCTGCCCAGTGCTGGAGGGGAGCCGGAGCTGGCTGCACAGGCCTGCCATGAGATGGGGCCACACAATACCCTTCCCTCACATGGTTCTGGAGGCCTTACACAGGGGCCCCCACTCACCTCCTCTCTTACCCAGTCAGAGGGCAGATTGACTGGGATACCAGCCACTGCTAATGCTGGCCCACAGGGTGATACCTTGTTTAAACTGGAAAAATGCCTCTCTTCCTCAAAATGCTTTACTGCCACTGTTGCAAAATTGTTGTAATATACCAGTTTTGTTAGGGAAAGCTAAAGACCGCTCTCTCAGTAAATCTACAAATCTGAGGTGTGAACGATGCCCCTTAGATATGGTGACATCGGGTGCTGTGGGTCATGATTCATATTTGGTGGCCCCCCGGGGATCCCTGACTTGCTCCTCCTGCTGATGGGCCTTCTCCCTCCTGCCTGGTTGTCACGGTAACCTCCCTCCTTTATCTCCTGCCAAGGTCCCAAGACTGGCCAGAGGCTCTGCACTGGTACAACACTGTCCTGGAGACAACGGACTGTGACGAGGGCGGTGAGTATGACGGGATGCAAGACGAACCCCGGTACATGCTGCTGGCCAGGGAGGCTGAGATGCTGTTCGCAGGCGGCTTCGGGCTGGAGAAGGACCCGCAGAGATCAGGTAGGGCCGGGCAGACCTGCTCCTGCGGTGGGACGGGGAGGGACGTGATTCCTGTCCCACTGGGAATTATGGCAGGACGTGAGGCTAGTCTCTCTCACTGGTGGGAGGAGGGTGCATACGGGCCCTCTATTTTGCCAGGCGGGATACCCCCATGGTGCTGGCTTAGGCGGGGGCTTCATGGAGCTGGTGTGCAGATGAACATTTTTGTTGTAATGGTTATATATTAGGGACTTGGGTTTGGGGGTTGTTGGGTTTTTTTTACAATTAAAAAGAAATTGAACTGACATTTTTGTAACCTAAACTTCACCATTTTAAAATGTACGAGTTCGGTGGTGCTCAGTGTCTTCAGGATGCTGTGCAGGCCTCACCACTGTCTAATTCCAGATCGTTTCCATCAGGCCAAAAAGGAAACCCGTCCCTGGTAGCGGTGACTTCCTCCCCCGCCCCTTCATTCCTAGAAACCACTAGCTTACTTTTTGTCTTTGTGGACTTACCTGCTCTGGACGTTTCATATAGATGGAACCATGCAGTACGTGGCTTTTGTGCCTGGCTTCTTCCACGGAGCATAGTACTTTCAAGGTCCATCACGTTGTAGCATGAATTGGTACTTTGTTCCTTTCTGTTGCCTAATAATATTCCATGGCATAGATGTACTATGTCCTGTTTATCCATTCAGCAGTTGACACACACATTAGATATTTTTTTCTGTTACATAATAAACACACTGAACTCAATATTTTCCTTATTTCACAGGTATGGGATGAGTTTAAGAAAAATTTTAAGGGTGTGTAAAAGATCAAGCAAATAACTCAATTCTATAACCCCTTATTTGAAACTTCTAAATCCCCAAAGGTCTGAAAACCACGCGTTTTTGTTCGTGTGGCACAAATTCATGCGGCGGCCAAACCCGCCCACAACCCCCGCGTGGCTGCTGCTGGTCTTTATTTCTTCCGCTTCCGTACATTCGCCCACTAGCCCCGCGGAAGTCCGCCGCCTGGTTCTCATTGGCTCAAAGGGAACCACCGCCCGCCCCTTAGCCAGTCACGGTGCCCATCCAGACGGCTTACTCTGATTGGCTGTGCCTCAGTCTGGGCCAATCCCTGCGGGCCTGGTGGGGAATGAGGTGCTTTGATTGGTCAGACTCGGATCACATGACCACCCAGAGCCCCACCCAGGTCGTGTGGCGCGAGAGGGAATTACAGGAGCTGGGGTGCTGCTCCCAGGGGTGGTCGGGGTCCCGGGGCTGCCAAAAACGCCGGGTGGCTGAGCCGTTTGTGGCCCCCTTTGCTGTCTTGCAGGCGACTTGTACACCCGGGCGGCCGAGGCGGCGATGGAAGCCATGAAGGGCCGGCTGGCCAACCAGTACTACCAGAAGGCCGAGGAGGCCTGGGCGCGGATGGAGGAGTAGCGGCCGGGCCGCCTGCGGGCCAGGCCCAGCGACAGGGCTGCACGGGAAAAGGACCCACAGGCTACTTAGGGGTCCCTTGGGGGGAAGGGGCAAGTATTTTTAGTGTGTTGTAAATCTACTTTTGTATGTTTCTTTGACTCTTGAAAATGACTTTGCTCTCAGCAGAGACACTGTAGCTGTCCCCCAGGGCAGTATTTTGGGGGAGTGGGGATTGAAAAATCAGCCTAACGGACCAGCATATCGTTTTGAGGCCCTCGTTTTGTTTTGTCACGAGATGTGAGAAAGTGCTTTTCTGCCTTGGAAAACACTAGGGCTTCGCTCACCGGCGCCTTCAGGCCGGACGGCAGTCTCAGGCCCACAGAGCCCGAGTTTCCTGAGCCGGAGGGGGCTGTGTGGCTGCGCGCGAGCTCTCCGTGGGGGCGTGGACGGTCCCGACAGTGCACAGCCTCCCCTCAGCGTTCGGAAGCATGCACGGCGTAGCTCTGAACGTGAGGTGGTGCGACACCCTGGCCCCCTTCTGCCATGGCGGAGGGTCCGGCCCACACACGGACTGTTTTCTCATCTTGTAGTTCAACTTCCCGAAATGGCAGCTGATTTCCTGGAATACAGCCAAATTCCATTTTTAAGCATGCTTTCTACAATGGGCTTTACAAAACAGTTTGATGTTTGCATGCACCCACTGGCTGCCTCTGACTGCTCTGTAAGCTAGTGTAGAAGTGGGTGTACCTGGAGATTTTCCCGTGGGAGGACTGGCCTGGCATGGTGAAGGCCTTCCTCAAGCGGCCCTGTCCTCTGCGCCTCTGGCGGCATCCACAGTGTGACTCAAGTGCCCCTGGTACAGGATTCCTTCGTGTTCTCTCAGCATCTGATGTCCAGCCCTCATCCTTGGCATCTTCTGCTTGAAGCGAGGCGGATTTTCTTGTCAGTCACAGCAGGATGGACTCAGCAGCGGCACCTTGAGGTTTACCTCCCACGTTGGAGAATGAGAGAGCAGGAACTAACGATAGTTTCCACATGGCCAGACAGTGGCTAATTGTACATAATGAGCTTTTTCTTTAAAAAGACCTCAGTAGCAGTAGGATTTCAGTTGGTATTTCAAATAGCAAAGAAAACACTGCTTTGATCACCAGGTGGTTAAGGAGCTTCTCTTTATTTGTTGAAAAGTCAAAACATAAAGCAGAGTGTGACATATAAACCATTCTGATCTGTTCATTGAAAAGGCCTTGCTGTGGAGCCATGAACCTGTGCAAGCACTGGGTTCCAAAGTCCAGTGTGCCCCAGAGAAAAACCAAGCAGAGCTAAAATCACCCTTAGCGTACCTATAAATGACAGTATCCCTCGTTTGTATGTGGACTTGTCACAGCCAGTTCCCTTTAGAAGTTAGAGCTGATCACTCTTTTTCCATTTGCAGCAGATCAAGTAGTAGTTTTTTGTTTTTTAAACCAGTGCATACAGTTAAATTGCATATATTAAATGTAAGCCACAAGCAACTTTATTGTGACTTAATATCTTCAAAGTAATCAAGCCTCATATAATTCATGCTCCTTTGTTGTTATTAATTCAGCCAATCTGCTCTTTCTGAGACTATGATGCAAATTCCTGACCACCTCTGTCCTTTCTTAGTTACACGCATTAGTGTTTTCCTTTAACACGGGGGATCGGCAAACTTTTTTTTGTAAAAGGCCAGATAGTAAATGTTTTAGGCTCTGTGGGCCATATGGGCTTGGCAGGGCCTCAGTCCTGCTGTGGTAGAGCAGAAGCAGCCATGGACAATACCTAAACCAATGGGTGTGGCTGGTGTTCCAATAAAACTTTATTACCAAAGCAGGTGGCCTGCTTGGGCTGTAGTTTTCCCACCCCTGCTCTAATCCTTGACTGGGAGCTACTATATTAAGTTCTAGGAATGAGGTATCACAATTTTCCAACTGCCAGCTCAAACACACTGTGCCTTGGCACAGAGTAGGCACTCAATAAATGTGAACAAATGGAGAGCCAATGCTAGTCACTGCACTCACTCTTTGTAGCTCTGGTTCCTCCATCCAGTTAATGATTCATTGTCTGGATTGGCTTGAACCACCACCCCTGCATTTCCACCCAGCCACCCATATGGCCTTAGTGTCAGCTGTTGGTGCCCTCTTCTCCAAGAGGTTGCAGTGGCCTGGATATAGGTTTAAGCAAATGCTTCCTTAAGGACCATTGAGAGTAGGATGATCTGTAGGATGTTGAGGTCCTTCCGAGCCAGCAGAACTTCACCTTCAAAAACCTAGTTTTGTGCCTTCTAAAACTGGTTAGGGCATCATCTTTTACCACAAATGCTGAGCATGCAAACAACTGCCGCCCCCCCACCCCCTGCCAAATCCCAGGACAGTCCAGCCCCACTAGAAAATATCAGACTGTCTTCAAGTGCAAGAAGCAGATGACAGTCTTTGAGATTAGATAAGGAGAGTTGGGGATATCTGGTACCTTTGATCACAGATGGAGAAACGGAGGTTCTGGAAGGTAGAACCTTTCACAGTGACACTGCTGGTTGGCTGCTAAGCTGGAGTTGGGATTTGAGAGCTGCTGTTATGTAGAAGATCCTGGGAATAAAATTTAAAGTTAAACTGGACTGTAATGTCCCTTTCAGTTTTGCTACAGGTGGGGAAAAAAAGCCTTGGCCCTGGCCCTGTAGCTCAGTTGGTTAGAGTATCGTCCCAATACACCAAGGTTGCAGGTTTGATTCCCAGTCAGGGCACATACAAGAATCAACCAATGAATGCATAGATCAGTGGAACAACAAGTTGATGTCTCTATCTCTCTAAAATCAATAAAGAAAAAATATTTTTTAAGGTTGTATTGATATAAAAAGGAAAAAAAATCCCAAACCCCAGTGTATCTAAATATCCCTCTTCCCTCCCCCTCATTTGAGGCACTGTGGGAATTTATCATTGAATGCTGCTTTGATGACCCAGCCAGATAAACTACCCTTTTGCTATTTTAGTGACTTCATTTCTTCCTGTCCCCAGCCACTGCACATTTATTTGCAGTACTGGACATGTTTTACTAATCAACAAATGTTTACATAAGTATGTGCAGCTGAGGGGGGGGTATGACAAAATATGCATATTCTCTGTGTGGATTTGTACCTGTTACTGGTGTTTCTAGTCTCTGGGGTAACCATTTAACCTGGACAGGGTGGGCCCAGAGAAGTGGCTTGCAATATAGATTTATTTTTGCATATGTATTAAGTTCCATTTCGTGTTTCCAAATAAAGCAATTTCTTTCCTTCTGGTCTCAAATTCATTGTCTCCTGTTAGCAAGCGTGGAGGAGCTGGCTG